AGGAACGCTCGACCTCGACACGTGATATCGAAATGGGCGAAATCGCTTCTTGATATCACTAACTCTCCTGACTCCTGACTCCTGTCTAAGCAGCGATTGGGTTGTGAAATATGTCGCGGCTGCATCTCCTGCGACTGGCTCCGGAGGAACCGACGCTGTACTCCAGAAGGATTCTGTTGCTTCTGACTCCGGGATTCTTGCATCTTCGAGTGGTATGAGAAAATTCTTCAACTAGGCATTATTCCTTGACGCTACCTCTTTTGTTTCATGTGTCTGCCAGAAAATCCTACCATAGTACAATTTATAACATCGTGCACCATAAATCGTAAACTTTCAACCAGCCGAGAATCTGTATCGGTGAAACCGTAGCAGTATCTCCATTTGCAATTGTAAATTTCAGTAGCAAAAGCTTCTATGTCAGCACTTCCCATAAATAATCTTAATTTCAGGAAGTGAGATTGTTGCAAAACACCCTGCGCTAAAGGGGAACACCAGCCATCAGTCTTTTGAAGGAAGCGATCGCCCAAGACAATTCACAACTAGCAATCTCGTCTCTTGGGCCTACCAGATAGCTAAAGGCATGGAATACTTGGGTTCCCGTAAGGTGAGCCTCTTCGATCTCAACACTCTCAATTATCACCTTCAGCTAAAATGAAAAGGAAACTCGCAAGCTCCCTCAAGTAGTCTGTCATCTTTCAAAGGCTTCAAACGATCACGTGATGGAACAAAGTGAAATCACTGTCTTAATGTGAATCACCGAGCTCTACTTAGGGTTAATTTTTTGATGATATCGGAATTTGATTATTGAAAAATACATGAAGCTTAGGAGGGAGAAGGAAAGGAGCTTAGGTTGAGCACATTCTTATCTAGTTTCTCATCTCTTTCTGATCCTCAGTATATATTACCAACGTGCCCCAGCCCTCCTTAAGAGCTAAAAAATTTTCATTTCAAATATTCACTTTATTTTCCTAACAACCCTATTTAAAATAGACCTGGGCAGTGGTCAATATCAATTACAATTTCTTGAATGCCTTTTTGATAATGTCGGAAAACAAGAGTTAAACCAAATTTCTGGAATTCAGAAACTGACTAATAATCTTTGAGTTTTCATTGCTGTCACAGGTTGTCCATAGGGACTTGGCCACGAGAAACATTCTACTTGCAGAAGAAAAAATCGTGAAAATTTCCGACTTTGGCCTTGCCAGAGACATCTATAAGAACAATCAGTACATCACGAAGGGGGATGTGAGTTCCACATCTGCCTTTCTCGGTATGTTGTCATATCCATGATTGGTCTACTTTCACTAATGGACGGAATCTGCATCTTCCAGGGTCCATTGCCGATAAAATGGATGGCCTTGGAGTCCCTCACACAGGACATGGTCTATACGAGCAAATCAGATGTTTGGGCGTATGGAATTACACTTTGGGAAATGTTCAGCCTTGGGAANGAGCAAATCAGATGTTTGGGCGTATGGAATTACACTTTGGGAAATGTTCAGCCTTGGGAAGACCCCGTATCCTGGAATAAACGGCGCAGAGCTCGTCCGGCTTCTCCAGACGGGGTACCGCATGGAGGCACCTCGATTCGCCGATCATCATTTGTGAGACACTGTATACCGGGTGCGGTTTTTAACTTTGAACATGATGTCCATCGGCGGTTCATATCGACAATTTCTTTTCCGTGCTTGAATAGCTACCAAATAATGCGGAGGTGTTGGGATGAGGATCCAAACAATCGTCCGACCTTCCTCGCGTTGAGTGCATGGTTAGGCGAAATGCTTCCTGAGTCTGAGTTTCTGGTGAGAATCTCTTCCATGCCCTTTCGATCGATAATTCAAACCCAGATTTCAACAATTTTTCGATCATGTTCTCTTACAGCACTACATGGAAAAGTACGAGATGTTCGAACAAAAGAACGCAGAGTACTTCCGGACCAAGACGGACTACCTAAAATTGATGCCAACTGATACGGATGATAGATACCTGATACCGTTGAGTAAAAAGCATGGAACGGAAGATGTTTCATCTGTACCCGAACATGTGAAATCGGAGAATTTTCAGCCAAAGATGGACAATCTGCCGAAAATGGCAACCATAGCACAAGAGGATCACCTACAGGGAAGACAGGAACCACAAGTGCAAAAAGAAAATTCCAGGACACATTCATGCCTCAAAGACGACCCATTCTCCGGGAACGAGGAAAATCCTCACAGTGGATCCGAGCAAACTGAGAATCCGATATTCGGAGATGACATTATCGTTGTATACGATCAAGAGGCCCAGCAATGTTGAATCGCTACTAGGTCGTACATCTGACGAGTGGAAACGGATCGCCTCAAAAGTCATTGAAGAACGGTGAAAACAAACCAATGAGTATGCGATTGCACTCATTTGACTTCGTTCCCTTTAAATGGATCAGGCAGGGTCGAGGGCGTGAATGCTCCATTGTAGAAAATTGCTTGTCAGTATCTCTTTCTTCCACGTGGTGATCGCCACAAACAGTTTGAAGTATGCGGTATGAAATATATTTTGGAGATTGAATATCAACTTACGTACCACTGAATGTTTTTTATCATAGGAAAATGCCAGAGAAAGGAAATTCGATATTCCTTTTCGAGGAGCAAAAAAATAATTAAAAATCTCATAGTGTGGAAGTGAAGGTTGATCAGTTGCGCATATTGTCGCGTGTGGTTTTACTTTCATTGCACAATATTAACCCTTTGAGCCCTCAGTTCCTGAGCAATTTGAGCCTTCTGCCTGAGCTCCTGGGCCAAAATTTGCGAATAATGGGTATACAATGTTTGTGCAAATATTATAGTTGTAATAAAAGAGATGAAATTGATGCTTTGCATGCAAATAGCAGGATGACGTACCTTCATTTTAACGCCAGAATTCGTTCTTTATGTGCCAATCAGGTAATACATCATTTCTCTCTACCACCGGTAAAGCGGTGGTGAGGGCTCAAAGGGTTAAAATTAGACGATCACATCCGAGAAGGAAAAACATGGCCCATCTCCCATCGAAATTTGCTACTATGAAACATTAGCATTCTTTCCATTCTGACAAAACGAAAAAATTTCAGAAAATGCCAATGCTTTCTTCTAGAAAAATCAGAACTAGGGCAGGTTAATACCTTCCAGAAACGAACATTACGACAACTAGTGTTTTGTGCTAGATATTATAGCTATAGTCCGTTGTGGCTAACAGAAGTACTGTAAGAATCTGTGAAGTAAGTATGAAATGGATAAAGTAAGTTTTGGCCTTCTCAGAGGCGATCAGCATCTCTTTTCTTTTTTTCCGAATCCTCCACATTCACCAGTATTCACAGTCAATTGCGTGTTTCTATATCGCCCAAACAGCATGTTTATGCTAATTTTACGTAAAATGAATGTAAATTTTGTACACTTTATATCATTTTTACGCAAACCATCGTCAAGATAATGCCAACATGTTTGCATAAATGTCACCTCTGTGATACCTAAACGGTGTTATAAAATTAACGTCAATTTTATGTAAAATTGACATGCTCGTTTGCATTCCCAACAGTATTTCTATGTTGACTTTAAGTACGTTTTATGTTAATTTCCCCCTAGCATTCATGTGTCTACTGTATCTCCCATTCCTCTCCATATTTCAGAACTCAAGGGTGGTTGAATGAATACACTCATCCTCATCAGCACTCGAGTACCAAAATAACAAACCCCTTCCTTCTCCCGTACTGGAACCTTGGGAAGAGGAGTAGATGTTCAGGGGAACTTTCTCCCATTTAGGATAAAGAAGACTTAGTACTTGTAGACTGGGATTCTATTCTTCCCTAATCCCGTGCACTGCTGTAATAAAAAGCTTCAGCATTTAAAGATTCCCTGAGTCATATATTATAAATATATTTATAATAATTTCATGCTTTCCATATATATATGCATGGATTGCGTAATAAAAAGTAGAAGAATGGTAAGAAAATCTAATATTCTATCGGAAAAGCCAGTACTTAATAGTATTTGTAGGTTGCAGGGAACAAGGGTTCCATCTAGTGAGGAATCTAGGTACTGCAACTGCGGGATGGTCAGCTAAAGTTTCATATGGAAGGTGTGGCGTTTATTTTGCATAAAATTGGTATCAAGTACTTCACGTCAAATGGAGTGACGTCTAGTTTATGCAAAATACACGTACACTTTGGTGACGTAAATATCGGAACGTACATTTTACGTAACCGTGATGTCATTTTCATGGCAATCCCAAGAAATTTACATGGTTCGCTAAGAATTGATATCTCGCTCACGTAAACATGCTGCTTGGGCGTTTTAGGCGTTTGCTGCTCCATGGTTAATTCTCTCTTCCCTTTGACTAAAATGTCATGTTCGGATGACAAGGTTGCATCTAGGAAGTGATAGTCTGGGAGGAGGAATATACAACTCGAGCGACTGGTAGGAGAGAGGAGCCGGTCGGCTCTATTGTGCGACAAGTCTTTTATCGACTATTGGCATGGGGTTCTGTTCCACTTTCGCCTAGACGGGAACATTAGAACTGCAAAAATTCCAACTAGCCAAAAAATTGTTAGGCGTGGATTGGGAATCTATTAGAAGCTCCGCACACCACTCTTCCTCACTTGGCGTAGTATTACACTGTCTTGATTGAGATCACGAGCTGGTAAGCGGAAACTGTTCGCCGTCTCAATTGCGTTGGACGGCTGCATCAGGACGCTGCAGATTTAAAATTTGAAATGCTTTCTTGGAGTTATTGAAGAAAACCAAAGAAGGAACACAGCAAGTATTCATTGGTATAGTAGATGATGGCAGTCATTCTGAAGGCAGCCCATAGAAACCCATGAAAACCTATGAGAACCCTCTCCTCACATGCATTAGCTATGGAATCATTCTCCTGCAAGGGCCATTTTAAAAGTCCTGTAACCCATCTGTCTCTCTCTCTATATATATACACTGTACACAGATAGACAGAGAGCTATATAGACAGATATATTGACACTACTATAGGCTGTAATAGGCCGGACCTCACGATCTTTAAGAAGGAGAAGACCGCCCTCCTCGTAGATGTGAGCATCCCAGCTGATAATAACCTCCAACAGAAGACCAGGGAGAAGCTGGAGACATACTCCGAACTCGAAGTAGAAGTAGAACGGTTGTGCGGAATGAAGACCACCATCGTTCCGATCAGCATCGGCACAACTGCCATCGTCCTGAAAGACCTCAAGGGACATGTCAGGATGCTGGAGTGTTAAATCCCACTCCACACCCTCCAGAGTTATTTCGGCTTGAAGGAGGCACTCTCCAACACTAATTTATTTTCGGAGGTGTTCCTTGCAGTTATATCTGTTTTCATCGGTCTCTGGCCGACTCTAAATTAAATTAGCCTAAGAGAAAAACCGGTCATTACTCGTGTGGCTTTTCCCGGGTAAGCAAAGTTCAGCCTACCGTCACTATCGCTCAGTAGATATTCTCGGGTTCGCACGCGGGAGGCCGAAGTTCGAATCCGGGAGGCAGGCGGGATATTCCTAGGTCCGACAGCTCACCCAGCTGCTTTCAGGTTCTCCTGCTCTCTCGGTCGGACTCAGTAATGGCCCACTCTCTGGGCTCTACTGCATGAAATGTAGGGCTTTTGTGATCCTCAATAGCATGTGCCGCATCCGCCTTGGCGGCCCGATGTGCAGAAATGGAAGGTCTCGTGAATGAGCGAAATCGAAGATGGCATCGCCTTCTCTGAGATAGTGAAAACGGGGATACATAATGACAGACAACGCGAAAAGGTGGGGCAATGCCGCTAAAGATCCCCGATTTTTATCCCTTTTTCTCTGTTCAGATGTTTGTGCCATATGTTCTCGTCAGTGCGCGTCCGTCCCAGAACACTTCTAAAAATAAATTTGAAAAGTCAAGTCCAGCCTGGGCACAAAATTTCGTTACACGTTACATATATTTTCCGAATTTCATTTATAAGTTATTTCCTTCTTCCTTTTACCCATTTTCCAAAGAAAAAATTTGCAGAAAATTCCAGGAACTCACATGGCACCCAAGGTTCCCATGTAGAAACTCCTGGAAGGAAGTAGTGTAAAAAGCATTTTTTGAAACAGCGTTTTCCCTTTCTTCAAACCCCCCCCCCCTCCCTACGGGACTCACGAACGCTATGCTTCATTCCTCAAGCAAATCATATCCTATGTGAAATAATTATAAGGGAAGTAAATTCAAAGAGATCCGTTGACGTAACACGAAATTTCAAGTTGATCCAATTACATTCCCTCTTAATTTACTTTTCAGGAAAAAATTATAATTAAAGTGCAAACCTGGGACGATGCCAGAAGGTCGAGCTATGGAACACGTCTGTGCACGTGATCTTCCCTGCCTTTTTCACCAAAGCCGCCAATTTCATCAGCAAACTGTCGTGACAACAAAACTGTTTCACCTTAGGTTCTTCGAACCTAAGGTGAAACAGAGGGGTCACAGAGACTATGGGTCTCCGACCCATAGTTTAGCCAAAAGTCACTGTCAAAGACGCCGCAAGATCGCCATTTGGTGAGTCGAATTCAAACGACTACAACTCGGAAATCGTTGACCAGAGGAACCCAGAAGTAACGTATTTGGAAAGCTAAGACAATCTACTTTTAAATGGGGAGTTGAGATTCAAAATGACAGAAAAGGTCAAAGGTCAAACGGCCATATAACTGGGAATAGCCGAATTTTCGAGAACAGTATTCCGACCGCCATTCGCCACAGATCCGCCACAGACAAAAGCATGCATGCCACTTTAGAGTACCTATCGGTCGATCTGTACACCAAACCTCATATGGCTTGTACTGAGCATTTTGGAGAAGAGTACCAAAATGTGCTCGAAATTGGGGCGAAAAACGCTACTCCGCGTGGTTTTTTTCTATTTTTCCCTGCTTCGAGGCAAAAATCGCGAAATGTTCTCTGATAGGTATATAGGGAAGAGTCTCTGGATTCCAGAGACGCCAGAATCGTCTTTATATCTGCTAGGGTTCCTCCGGAAAGATTATTCAAAGTTGTGCATTTTTTAAAGAGAAATCGTCCCCCCATTGGCCCTTGACAACACCATCAACTGAATGCGTCGCCAGACTCATGTGGGTGAAAAATCACGGAAGATTCCTTGATTGATGGATAGATATGAATCGTCGGAAGGAGTCCATGCAAAAATCACCATGATATCTACCCGGACTCTGCAGAATAAATCACGTTTCTGACAAGGATAGAAATCGCCCCCCTCCCACCTCGTCTTTGCAAACGTTTACGCGCTCGCTGCAGAATGCTAGCCCTGGCTCCTCAAAAGCAAAAATCACAAAATCTTCTCTGATAGATGGATAGAAAAGACTCTCTGGATGGCAGTGAGACTTCGCTCGACCCTTTGCGATGGATGGTTCGCTCAGAAAGTTCATTCAAACCAAAATGATATTTCGCACCTATTCAACCAAGGTGTCGAAAAACGTCCGAGATCGCTTTTCAGATGTAACTATTGGAATTTTCCCTGATAGATCGATACATATGATTGCCTAGAGTGTGTGGATACATTTATCTTTGCGGTCT